GATGACCGGATCCTAATTAAATAGAGAAAATCACTTAATTTTCTTTATGGTCAACCGGATAAAAAACTATCCTTCAGGCCAAAGCCAAAGTGTTCTTGTCGCTGGACGAAATGGAAAAGACCGTTGTACGATTTTTGGGACCCTAAACCAGAAATTTCTACGCACTAACTTTTTTTTATGTTACATTTTTTTCTATCGAATTCCACATTCCACACTTTAGGAAGGATTGAAAGATAACGACAAAGATATCGATAGTCGTCAGCGAAACCTCCAAAGGGACTCAACAAATGGAACCGACTCAATCCACACAAATCAGGAAAACACTATTCTCGTTAAAATCTATAAATAACTTCACTTATTAAATAATATTGTCCATGCCTTCTCTAACACGACACCAATTATATCGACATTTATAGAAAAACCCAACCCTACGCGATCAAAACCAAAGTACCAGCAAATTGATCGATATAGGTACTCGATAACAGGTAAATAAAAGAAATGAAATCCTCCAGTAAGAGAGAGACAGAGAGGGAGTGAAAACTAAAGGAATTAATCCTTCGAAACGAGCTGGCGCGAAAATAAAATTGAATGACAATTAACTGGACATAACCCCTTTTTATTTGAAAATCAAAACAATGTTGGCTATCGACTAATGAAATTGATAATTTATGTATATTCCTTTTAAGGACAACAAGAATAAGATAACCAGGCATTGTTCAATAAATATTCATCTGCAATGGTCAACTAAATCATTAGACAAATGATAAGGAGCAAAATCTTGTCTGGCTGTGCCTGAAATTATCTAAAAAGATGCAGAGTAAGGTAATTAATATCCAATCAATTAAGTCAGCTCTAAAATAATATTTGTGTGTTACCAGTTAAAACGCTGAATTACTCATTTAATGGGAAGAGCAAAATTAAAATGTTACAAAACAAACAAGGATAAAGGCGTAGTTCGAGAGTTCGAACTAAAACGTCCCACTCTTAAAAGTAGGTATCTCTTATTTAAGAAAATCAGCTCAAGTATTTGAATGGACCTGCCTTCCGAAAAAATCCCGAAGAAAGAAAAAGTTAGATTTTCAAAAGACATACTGAAACATAGGCCTATAACACTTTAGACTCTAGAAATATATTCATTTAAATCAATTATTTACTGTTCTTATTTACACAAATAGTTATATTATTCATTGAATTACTGTTTTTGGCCCTTTAGTACAATAAATTATGCATTTTTTGTGATTCATATTAATAAAATAAAAAATATATATTTATAAAAACAAACACCACCAGCACCACTTGGCGGTTAGATTGCGGTGTTGCCTTTTTAACTTCATGGCTTGTTAAATGTAGGGGGCTGTGCCTGTACCCTATAGATTGTTAGATATATTTAATATAAAAATCCATTACACGACTAAAAATATCATAACTGGTAGAGTAAAATATAACTGCTAAACGTGATTTTATAATAAATTTTAACCTATATCAAGTTAGCAATACCACATGCACGCCGGAAAATGGCGTTAAGTGATTAATTTGTCGCTTTTTTGTCGTAAATTTGTCGTGCAAAAAAAAAATCTTAAATACCCTGGTAGTGCTAACTTGATATCAAGTTAGCACTACCAACGTCACCTGATGTTCCTACAGAAGTTTTATTAGGTGAATAATTTGTCGTTTTTTTGTCGTAAATTTGTCGTGCAAAAAAAAAATTGTCGCGTTTTTCTTTTTTCTTAAATACCCTGGTAGTGCTAAATTCATATCAAGTTAGCATTACCAACGTCACCCGATGTTCCTACAGAAGTTTTATTAAGTGAATAATTTGTCGTTTTTTTGTCGTAAATTTGTCGTCCAAAAAAAAATTGTCGCGTTTTTTTTTTTTAAATACCTTGGTACCTACCAACGTCACCCGATATTCCTGAAGTTTTATTAAGTGAATAATTTGTCGTTTTTTTGTCGTGAATTTGTCGTGCAGAAAAATAAATTGTCGCGCTTTTTTATTCTTAAATACCCTGGTAGTGCTAACTTGATATCAAGTTAGCACTATCAACGTCACCCGATATCCCTACAGAAGTTTTATTAAGTGAATAGTTTGTCGATTTTTTGTCGTGCAAAAAAAAAATGGTCGCGTTTTTTTTCTTTCTTAAAAACCCTGATAGTGCTAACTTGACTACCAACGTCACCCGATATTCCTAGTCTTAGGCTTCGGTTCAAAAGGACGATATTCAAAACCGCGATATTCAAAACGGCGGTCTCATTTAAGCGACATTCAAAACAGCGACATATCAAAAGAGCGACATGTCAAAACAGCGACATTCAAAACAGTGGCATTTAAAAAGAGTGACAAATTAAAACAAGGATTTATCAAAAGAAGTGCAGAGAGGTCTATCACCTAAACGCCCCTTACACAATCTAATCTAATCTATCAAAAAAGAGACATATTAAAAGCGCCACATTTGAAACAGCGACATCTGAGCAAAGCAGCGACATATCGAAAGAACGACATATCAAAAAAGCGACATCTGAATAAAAGAGCAACACATCAATTTAAATTAATAATAATCAAGAAAATGCAGACTTAGTCAAACTAACCCAAACTAATCCGTCGGCCTAGTGCCATCTAGTTCTCGTAAGTTAGCATTTTATTTCAAAAACAAAGCGCGATCAAAAGACGCTACGCTATAAGTAAATTACCTTTGTTTTTTTTTCTAATAAAATCCTCACGAGGACTAGGTACATCGCACTAGGCGGACGGGTTATCCTAGGTTAGTTTGAGTAGGTCTGCATTATGACGTTAAATTTAAACCAATAATAATCAAGAAATTGCATAATGGCTCAAACTAACCCAAAATAACCCATCCGCCTAGTGCGATCTAGTCCTCGGAAGTTACCATTTTATTTAAAAAACAAAGTGTGCTCAAGAGACGTTCCGCTATAACCTTTCTTGAATATTATTGATTCAATTTGATGTGTCGCTCTTTTGTTTAGAGGTCGCCGTTTCAAATCCCGCTCTTTTGATATGTAGCTGTTTTAAAGTATCGCGCTTTTGATTGTCGCTCTTTTGATATGTCGCTGTTTTTTTTAGATGTCGCTGTTTTGAATGTCGCTGTTTTGATATGTCGCTGTTTTGATATGTCGCTGTTTTGATATGTCGCTGTTTTGAATATCGCTATTTTGATATGTCGCTATTTTCATATGTCGCTTTTTTGATGTCGCTATTTTAAATATCGCTCTTTTGAACCGGAGCCGAAGTCTTATCAAGTGAATAATTTGTCGTACAGAGAAAATGTCGCCTTTTTTTTTTGCTCAAATACCAACGTCACCCGTTATTCCTACAGAAGTTTAATTAAGTGTATAATTTGTCGTTTTTTTGTCGTAAATTTGTCGTGCAGAAAAAAAAATTGTAGCGTTTTTGATATCAAGTTAGCACTTCCAAGGTATTTAAGAAAAAAAAAACGCGACAACTTTTTTTCTTACACGACAAATTTACGACAAAAAAGCGATACATTATTCACCTAATAAGATTTCTGTAGGAACATCGGGTGACGTTGCTAGTGCTAACTTGATATCAAGTTAGCACTACTACCAGGGTATTCAAGAAAAAAGAGAAACGCGACAATTTTTTTTTTTGCACGACAAATTTACGACAAAAAGCGACAAATTATTCACCTAATATGACTTCTGTAGGAACATCGGGTAACGTTGGTAGTGCTAACTTGATATCAAGTTAGCACTACCAGGGTATTTAAGAAAAAAGAAAAACGCGACAAATTTTTTTTTTGCACGACAAATTATTTACGACAAAAAAGCGACAAATTAATCACACAACGCCATTTTCCGGCGTGCATGTGGTATTGCTAACTTGATATAGGTGAAATTTTATGCTCTGAATAGTCGTTTGCACCGACCATTTTAAGGGAGATTTGATGATAATCAACGTTTAAATTGATATTTTCACATTTAAAAATGTTACTTTAAGCGTTGATTATCGTTAAACCTCCCTTGCAAACGGAAATTAATTTTTCTACCTTCATATTTTTTCGAAAATACCTTTTTTTTTGAGATATTGCCAAAAAATTTAGAAAAAAAAACGATTTTCACTCCTTTTAGGTGTTGTTTAGGGGTAACAGGAACGGCCGATTACCGGTGGGGTTTAGTCGTTTATTAAAGACCCCAACGTAGGCCTAGCCAGGTTTTCAAGCTAGGGGGTCGCAACCAGTAACCAGGATAAATAAACCCGCAGGTAGAAATAGCCCCGTGAGCGAAATCGTTTTGGGTGTCACTCCCAATTTAGCAATGTTTTTGCTTGTTTGTTAAACTTTTTGGTGACGATGAGAAATTATAGAAGAGACTTTTCAAAAGACAAAAAATTACATCGCAAATTTTTATTTTGTCTAGGTGAGTCATAATTGAAAAGTATGTTTCTTTTTTGGTAGCGGTGCGCCAAAAAATATCCTGGGGGGGAGGGGGGTTGCTTACAAACAGCTCCTACCTAGTTACAACCTATATAGGTACCATAATTCTTTTCCAGATATTTTCAACATTGAAGCAAAGTGTATATTGGAGAGTTCATTCGATTTTTTTCTTCTTGACCCTTGAAAGATTATAAATGATTCTAGGTGTTAAGTGTTGTTTATAATATGTAAAAGAAAACATTTCCAACTAACTTCTAAACCTAAAAAAAGGGTGGCAAAGAAAAATAGGGACAAGGAAAATGCAGCAACAACTGTGCTCATACCCCAAAAATATATCAGATCAAATTATTATTTGGTGAATAAAATGTAGCTTCATTACCTATGTACCCTATTGTTTTGTTAGTTAACTGTGAAAGAATAAGGGGTGGAGAAACCCTATGTACAGCTGTTCTGAAAATTTAGGGTAATATTTTACGAGCTAATAGGTGATTTGCGTCAGGTAAACATTATATGATTTGATTCGATTATATTTTAACCTACGTAAGTAACTATTTTCAAAAGTGAAATATTCTAGCAATATTGTAAATTTACCTGCTAACCGAAGTGCAGACATTCTCTGAAATTCTGGTTCTTGAAGCCATTTCCACATCCTCCTAAAAGTTTCTCTGCCAGATTTTAATTTTGACCAGGGTTTTGGATTTCGTAAAAGATCTGAAAGGGTTCCTTGCGATCTGCACAAAACACGTTGGGCAAAAATTGCTTGCGGAATGCTGTACCTTTTTAGTTCTGCACTTATTCTTTGAGCTAATTCTTTGGTATTAATTTCTTCTACATCGGATGGGATTGATGGAACACCAAGCGATCCAGGACTCCCATTTTTAATTTGTATTTGTTGATTTTGTTGCTGTTGACCATGTTGATGTTGAATCCCTGATGACGTTTGTTGTAACGTTACTACAGGGGGTGATGGTGAACAATCACGTTGCGGGGGCGCGATTTGCACTAAAGTTGGCGGATGATTTTCAAGCCCAAGTCCGTTTAAAGTAGTCTGTCTCGTAAAACTAGTCACTAGAGTACCTTCAGGGGAATTTAAAGACCCCGAACCGGGAGGACTTAATTGGGGACTACTTAGTGTTCGACTCACCATTTCACTTTGTCTCGCACCATAGGGAGAATCGTAACCTTGAGGAGACATACTTTTTTGAGGAGAAGATAGACCATTTTGGCTATACGCACTTTGCGGACTAATTGGACTAGATTGTTGTTGCATACCCATGCTAGGCGATGAGTAATTATGTGGTGGTGTCATTTCGATATTGTTCATTGTGTACGGGGTGCTTGCATTCAAACCAACAATACCTTGAATGCTGTTATTTTGCATAACTGTAAAAGATCCAGTAACATTACTTGCATGGCCATAAGCAAATTTATCTGAAACCGTCGATATTGGCGGCAAGGGTTGCAATGGGGTAAGTGTAGCATAGGAGGAGCTGGGACTATAACCTGCGGGAGACATCCTGCCATTCACTGTGGTAAGAGTTTGGTAAGTTGGTTCAGGATTTAGGTTTCTGTATTCATTGGTATCTATCATGACCGAACTGGGTGATAATTTTGGACTGAGCAGTTCGGACTCTCTGGATTCCTCCTGTGGTTGCACGATAACGGAGAGAGGGCCATCAGCTTCTTCCTGTTTAACAACACGACGCTCGACCACGGCACGCGACAGCACCCTCATCGTCGTCACAACCCGCGTCTCCATGCCTCCTCCTGTTATAACCGCATGCGTGTGCGCCGTGCCATTTGAGGAATCGACCGCTTGTTCACGCAGGGACTGCTGTTCGATCATCTTTCCAATATTTTCCATTACACTATTTTTGACGGGCCGTCCGCATTTAAAAGCGACGGCGAATTCGCTTAACATCCGGAAATCTTCGGACGTTCATAACAACGTCTCCGACCAGCCAAAAATAGTCAGTATCCGATCCGCACAAATTCGCACCAAGGTTCAGCTAAACACAACCACTAACTGTCGCTCAACTACTTCGCGATTTTCTCACAGTAATGTTTATGTATTTACGACGGCGACGACGAATTTTTAACCGAAGCCATCTCATTCTTAAAAAAACACGATACCTCTTATTTGTCCTTTTGTTAAAATCTTTGTTTACCGATCCGCGAGATTTTATCGATTAGGAACCCCCGCACTCGCCGTACCCGATTCGATATTTAGTTATTGGTCGATTTCGATCAGTATAAACCCCTACTGAAATTGTAACTCGGCAGCCGGTCGATACTGGATTGAATAGGGGAGCGAGCGACGGCGACGCCAGGTGGTTTTGTGCGCTAGTCCTGCCTGCTGAATCCTCGTGCTGCGCGTCCGGGCACTACGCCACTCTCATGAACATTGGACAAACTTGAATTACAACATCGTCCCTTCAGCATGCCCTTTATGTCACCCTATACTTTATACTTCTATACCCTATTCGAGTTGGGTTACGACGTCACTGGGAAGCTTTTGCAATACGCACTTCGCGCTGGCCGCAGGGCCCCAAAGAACAAAAGAGACCCTCCGCCAGACGCGATGGCGTCGTCCTGTGACGGAAAATTATGCTATTCACTATACGAACATTAGATATGAAAATTATGTAAAAAAATAGCTTATAACGGTATTGTTTATTAACAAATTTAGCAAGAAATTGAAAAAAAAAAAAACAAAAAACAGAAATTATGTGATTTTAAACTTTGTCACAAGTCAATTTAAAAAAAAAACATAATTAGATTTGAGTAGTTTCAAATGTACACGACATTTGGACCCTTTTTATAGGTGTTATCAATTTGTAATCAAATTGTATATCTCAATTATTAACATTACTTGGCTAGTAACAATATACAATCTTGATTGTCATGAACATAATCACTATTTTTTACATTTAGAGGTAGTTCATTATAATATTTTAGACCTTTATAATACAGACTGTTTTGACTAAAACTGCCTACCACTAGCACTATCCACGTAAAAATTATCAGCCGAACGAGTTGTATATGTAGGTATAAATGTCATTAAAAACTTATTTAACATCCTAAAAATAAACACCCAATGTTTGTGTGTTGTAACAGATTTGTCTGACACTCAACATGTTTTTCCACTACCTGATGCTACAAACCAGTTCATAAAGCCTTATTTTTTTTTTTTTTGCAAATTTCGAATTTTAGTATTGTTCAGAAGGAGAAATATCTAATATCAAACAAAAACAAAAATTATGTGCTATTATTTTCATACACTGTAATTTAGTCCAACTACTTAGATGATCAGATAACCGACTGAGAACTTTAACATTTTTTGCGGTATAAGGTAGGTATTTGGAATTCACTGAAAGTGATCAGAAAATGAGAAGTGCTGATCCAATATACAGCCCAAGTCAAATATCCAAATGTCTTGGCCCTGTATGCGCTATCTATGTTGAATTCACCAAGCCTAATCAACAATATCAATCTTCCTACGTTTACTTCTAATGTAGGTATCAATTTTCTTTTTGATGTATTGACACGTTGAGTACCAACAATGCTTTTAGTCCGTCGGATAGCTTCTTCTAGGATGCATAAAAAAAATCGACTTCCAACCAAATGGGACCTTCCCGAATTGAAAAAGCATGTTTTTTTACATAGGAAATGGAAATTGACGACACTCTCCATTGGTCCAGATAAAAGATATAGGCAAAAAACTGGATAAATATTGAATATAGTTTTTTTTACTTTGAACCGGCATAACTTTCGTTCAAAGCAAGATAGAAACAAGTTTTTTTTAGTTCGATTCCTCATTCAATTTTCTTTCGTTTGGTATATAATCAATTTCAAAAATTTGGTCAACAAGTTGAGAAAAACAGCAATATTAAAAAAAAGGCAACAAATCGCAAATATTTTTTTAAACTTACCTTGCCGTAACTTCCTTATGCAAAGTATTATTCCAGTTTTTCTTTAACCAAAAATTGCGCAATTTAATAAGCTTCATTTAGTCTCGATTAACATTAGGTCTATTTTTCTAAATAAAAGCAGTAGAGACATTTGAACGTAAAAGCGCGCGTTACGAAAACCGGCTCAGCGGCCCTTCCTAGTCTTCACCTCGTGCCCTCGCGTTCTCCGCGGCCACGTTAAAATTACGTAAGAAAAACTTTGATAATATTTAAAACGAAATGAAATAAATAAATTAATAATATTTTTCATGATTATGATTTGTATATCAAAAAAAGTAGTTTTATAGTTGACAACCGTGCAATCTTCTTTTTTTTTAATATATCAGGATGAGCTCAATTGAATATTCGTTGTTTCTTTTGTATGTTGTTATATTTTTGTGTTTTCTTATTTATTTAGCCCTACTTTATAATTGTTTGTTATTATCAAGATATTTATTTGTGTCTTCTACTTTTTTTTTTATTTCTTCCTCTATAATAGACAAAATATCAATTATTGCTTCTTCTTATGAAAAGCTACAGATAGGTTTCAGCGGAGAACAATTTTTATGATACATTTCCCTGTCCATTTTTTCCATTTAAAAAAAATGAGCTGTTAGTATATCATCTCCAGTAATGCTGTGAAACTATTGGTAAGCCTTCGCATCCAAATTTGCCAATGCTTTTTGGAATAGTGTGAATGGGAATGTATCGTTTTTTATTAGTGGTGATATTTGTGTGACCGGCTTCCATAAATATTTCATTACCTATTAATTATTATCAAAAGCTTATATGTATAAATTTAAATAAAATAAAATTTTCAAACATTTATTTATACCATTAAAGTTATTATTATTAATATATTTACCTCTTATACATATTAACCTACAAATGAAACAACGAATATTCAATTGAATTCATAATAAGTCCTGAAGAAGAAACAAAAAAGGTTTCGAAAGCTTGACATTAATATAAGAATCATACAGTATAATTTTTGGCCGATATATCCTGTTATTATTGGAAAAAATGTGTAATTAAAAAAATGTATCCAACAATAAATCTTCTTCAAGTTCAGTAGAATTTTCACTCAGATCGAGATTCAGATTCACATTAATAGTGTCGCTATTCATATTAATGCAATTCATTTTGCATCTGCAATTCACACTACAAGAAACCCGCTCTTTTGCACTGTTACTTAAAAGTATTGCAAATTTTGTCATTGAAAAATAGGGAAATAATTTCCCTTATATCTTCCGGAATTGGAGCTTGCGGTTCATCATTTTTGAAACCATAAAGGTTTGTTCATCCATTGAATTTCCAAATAAAAATGGATCTTTTCACATATCAACTTCACCAACATGACTATTGGTCCATATAAATGTTTAATAATTGCATGGGTATTGAGATGATTATGTTTTTTTATTTGCAATCATATTATATGTAATCATGTCATTACTGACCACAATTACTGACTTTTTAAAAATTTGGAAATGACACTTACCTGTGTCACTTCCCTCTCTGATTTCCCTCACCGATTTCCCTATTCGACTTCCCTCACCGATTTCCCTCACTCTAATTTATTTACCTTTGCTGGCAACAATGAAAACATGTCAGGTAAAAACGTCAAAGCAGCGAATGACACATTTTGGCATGTTTGTTTTATTTTTTTAATATTAAAAAAATTTATCGACTAATCATAATTAATGGCAAATAAAATGGTATACAAACCTCGGAGGGAAGTTTTCATTTGCAACACTTCCCTTTTCGGTATGTAATATACTATTTTTATAAATTTACCTTAGCACATGTAGATTGGAAGTATCTTGTCTGAGGCAATTCCTGGGCTTGTTTCTGGCTATTATTAGTATTATTAGTATTTTTGAATAACAAACTTACAAATTACAAATTTTCTGGAAATTATAATTCCTTCTTCAGGTGGCATCATTGAAAATTGGTGGAAAATCTGAGGTGGAGAATAAGCGTAGACCAATTTTTATAATATAATTCCCAGGCCATTTTTTTTCCGATTTTAAAAATTGAGTTAGTAAGTATCACATCCAGTGATGCTGTGAAAACTTGGTAAGCCTTCGCATGCAAATTTGCCAATGTTTTTTGAAATAGTGTGAATGGGAATGTTTCGTTTTTTATTAGCGATTGATATTTGTGTGACCGAATGTGAATATTTCATTATTATTGAAAGGTTCGTGCGTGGGTAGAATAGAATAATAAATTATTAATCATCAGTATTATCGAATGTAATACCACAAGAGGTTTCAGGATTATCGGATAATACTTCTACCTGCCACGAAACGCGTTACGCAGCAACACCACGACTCCGAAGGAGGAGTGGTGTTGCTGGTAACGCGTTGAGTGTCAGGTGAAAGTATTAGGTAATCCTGAAACATCGAGTGGTATTCAAAAGGTTATACAACGAACTAAACTTTAATACTTTAAAATTTAAAAAAATTTCTATTAGAGAATTTGCCATTAATGCCACCAAGCGCGATAATCCTGAAAGGCTTATCACTTATTAAGCCTCTCGTGTCATATGGGAATAATGTACAGTGAGTTGTATAATCACATTTAACTACAAGCTTTCCATTTATATTTGCCGATAACATGTGAAAAATAATTCTGGTTTCAGCTTCTTTCTGATTGCAATGACGATTTGTAATGAATTTGTACCTATGTATGATGTATGATGTATATATTTAGGGTGAATCAAAACCACAAAAAACATACAATTTTCTACAAAAATCATCATAACAATCCCTAAATCCCTATTCAGATAAAAACACTTCAAGAATATTGAATAATAATATTCTTAAATTATTAAAAGTCTAGCCATTGGATAGACGCGGAGGTGCGGGCGAAAGCGATAGTCGTCGTCGAGTACGCAGCCGCTGCACGTGTTTTTCTACGTTCAAAAGTCTCCACAAGGTTTATTTTAGAGAATAGACCCAACATTAATCGA